TCTCAGCCTCCCAAGTCACTGGGATCATAGGTGTGCACCACCACATCCGGCTAACTTTTTGTATTCTTGGCCCTTGGTACAATTACATTTGCTTTAAGTTTATTCATCCTTAATTAGGTTTTTTTTTTTTCATAAAACACCTTCTCTTTTCATGATTCTTATTTCAGTGCCAGAAATAGTATTATTAAGTTGTATTTTTCTAGGAAGTTCAAGGCTCATTGTAGACATTATTTTGAAGAAAAGAACAAGTTCAGCCTAAGTAGGGAGAGTGAAAATATAAGAATATAGTCAAGGGAACTTCCGGCTGGGGCTGGAGAAGGCACAACTACTAGATGAAGCTGGACTGAGAAGGGCAACCTGCTAAAGCACACGATACCTGGGCTTAGGCTGCTGCTCTGTAATAACAGGCTGAAATCATTTTATGAAAGGCCATTGGTTCTCCAAGTGGGGTTCCCGCGTCAGCAACATCACCTAGGACTTTGGGTACACAGGCATATTCTTGGGTTTCATCCCCAGAGCTACTGAACCTGAAACCCTGGGATGGGACTGAGAGTTAATCCTTTTCAACAAGCCTTCCAGATGATTCTGACGCACACTGAAGCTTGAGAACCAATATGCCTTTGGATTTTCTGCCTCTTGAACTAAGAGGTCTGGAGAGCTCTTGTGCCTTTCAGCTGGGAGACACAATGAATCTAATATCCCACCCAGAACCTGCAGCTATGGTGCGTACTACCAGTACCTGTGATAGGTTAAGCATTCAGCCAGGTGTTTTAGTTACTAAGACAAAAGATGGGTGGAGGGGTGCAGGTGGTTGCTGGAGCCATTGAGAGTGTCCATGAAGTAGCCTCCCTCTTTCTGCCCCATTCCTGATCATATGGAGGAGCAAGATGATGGAGGAACAGACGAAAACCAAAATACCCCTGTTACCGAGAGGGTCAGTTGAAGGGTGTGGTTCCATGTGAGCGCCAAATGGGTTTCCTAATATGGAACCCAAGATTTGGAAAGACCCCGCTCCTTGACACCTAAGGCTCACCCAGGGAGAGAAGAAAGAGAGGATCAAAGCCGGGCACCCTCAGTTCCTTGTTCCCACATTAGCTAAATTTGCTATTGAAAAGCGCTTCACTTCCCCATGGAGGGAGGAGGGGCCCAGGCAGGCCAGAATCATCCTAAACCTTAGGAGTGGGAAAGAAGCTTTCTCCCCTGTGGGGAGGTGGCTTTGTTTCGAATAAATACCTGGAAGCGTGCTATGTAGTGGCACAGCTTTAGTACAAAATATTTCCATCACTGATTTTATTCCGAACTGATACCCTTGCCAAAATCACCAAAAGTGCCAAAATGTGCCTTTGT